TCCTCTCCTGCCACGTCAGCAATAAGCACCTCCAAGAGCCACGTCAGCTCCTGCTCAGGACCTGGTCGCATGTCAGCGACGAACGCGACGGTACTTGCCACGCCAGCAACCAGATCTTGGGACGTGGCACATCTTATGCCACATCAGCAGACTATCGCGACCTTCTGTCGCAATCCCGGCTGGTATCCCAACTGCCACGTCAGCACGTGTGTCGGGATCGGTATCCTGAATAGTCTTCTCACCAGCAGTCTTCGTCGTCATCAACAGCACAGCTTCCTCATCATCATCTTGTCACGTGTACAAGTCTTCAAAGGAGGTAAGTGCCCTGTCTAGAATGTTGCGCGATTATAATCGCGATTGAGCACTTCCTCATCTTTACCTGGCGCCACCTGGCGCTTGCACACGTGTATCTTCGTCGTCGTTATCGTCGTCGTAGACAGGAGTACTGCTCCGATACCTAATTGCAATGAACCCAAGCCATGAATACAAATGTCAGCAGTGCAAGTCCAGATTATTGAGCCGCTGATAGTTTCCAATAATCAAACAGTATCTAGAAAGAGAGAGGTGAGATAATCATACACAGACGAGAGGAAGGAGGGAGATAAGACAAAGGAGGGGAAGATACAATGCCCACTCCTTCTCCGGGCTCCTTCCTTGTCCGCCACCTCACAATAACCAGTAATATGAACACATATCGAAGTCCTGTTACAATGTGTCACGTGGCACCCAATCAACCTCTCATCAGCGCTGGAGTCACATTGACATGAAGATACCAGGTACGTATCCACAACCTCCTCACAGTCCCGATCTCCTCCTGAACTGACGATGAAACAGCCTTGATATCTCCCTGAAGTGATGATGGAATAGAACAGCAATGCCGGTCCTGTAGACCCGGCAATGTCACATGTGGCAGCAGCCACGTCAGCAGCAACACGTGGCAATGCCACGTCATCAAGCCTTGAAGACAGTAGCCAGCCAGTCAGCGCACCAGCCAGCAGCGTGTTGCTGCTATCTCGCCAATGCCAGCGTAATGCCAGCGTCCACCAGCGTCGCAGCGTCCAGCCAGCGACGTGCCGTCAACGCGTAGAGCAGCGTCAACGCAAGACAGAAAGAGTGAATGCCAAAGCCAGGGAGTCCACGCTTATGTAGCGTTGACTCGGGGTCTGGACACTGGCTGCTGCAGACTCCAGCCGTCCAGATCTTGACACCGGGAAGGCATGGATCGATCTGAAACTGTATCCTCTTCGGCCTGGATGCATGTCTTGGTACCTGCGCACAACAAGTGGATGTATCCAACCAAGGGCCTGGCGTGGTACCTTTGACTTGACAGTTGACTTTGACTCTTGATTTCCTGATCTTAGCACTTGGTCCCACAGCCACGTGCAGCCTTCTCAGTTCTGGGCATGTGTTGGTCACACAGCCCAGCGCAGACCAATTCTGGTCTGCGTGGCCTGGGGCTGAGTTCTGGGCCCCGGGCTACTTCTGAACAGGGTTACTACACCTGCTCAGTCAATCTCCCGGATCCAGGGGCAATCAATGCTGGCAGGAATCGCACACAACACTGTTTTGATACATTCCAAACTCAGCTTGTATAATGGGACGCTGGACCCGTTTTCCAGCAGGTGCTGCTCCCCACCAATAGATGGAGCCCCTCCCCAGGCACTAGTGGTGTCTGCTCTTATCAGCACCACTAACACTGGCGTTTTTTTTTTGTATTTAAAAAAAAAAAAAAAAGATCAGGCAGCTCGTTTGTAATGAAGAGGCCTATTCCTTCTCTTTTCGTTTTCTACATGTGTGCAGCAAAGCTATGAGGGCCATTGGGCCCAGTTCGCAGCATGTGCTGATCGATGTTTATCAGGGGACGCGATTAATGTTTATCAGGGGACGCTGGAACCGTTTTCCAGTGGGTGTAGCTCCCCACCAATGGACTGCAGCACTCTGCGACACAGGTAGCAGTGTATGCTCTTATCATCACTCCTATCTGTACACGCACGAGTTATTTAAAAAAAAAAAAAAAAAAAAACTGCGCTTGTGACCGCTGCACAGTTAAGAATTCGCATAAATAATAGTCCACTGCAAGATTGGGCCGTGAGCAGTTCGAAACAGCAAGAAAAAGAGTAAACTATGCGTTCGACGGCCTGGGAGGTAGCCTGGGCTAGTGGTACCTCCCTTTAGCCCGTGGCCTGGCCTGGGAGCAGGTACCGGTAGCAGGCCCTCCCCTTCTTTTTTGTTTTTTTTTCCCCCGTTTTCGGCTTCTGGTGGGAATCGGTTCGGGCTGGAAAACGATCGCACTTTGTCAGTACAGGAAAAGCCACCGACCGCTACACGTGCCTCGTTAACACCCGCCCCACTCTCTCTCTCTCTCTCTCTCTCTCTCTCTCTCTCTCTCTCTCTCTCTC